AATACATCCTATTATAATAATGATAGTGCTCCACTCTGTTCTAAAAATAAAGAATCAGAAGGGATAAAGTTGATTTACACTTATGTTAGCGAACCGGACCCACAGCTTGGTATTAAAGACCTAAACAATAATGTCATATGCATTAGCCGAACACAGACATAGAGTACTGCTAAAGCACTGCAGTTTGTAAACCAATGTATTGCTCCATATAGACATTCTATATTAATCAACCCATTTCTAGACAATAGCGGGCCCACAGCTGATTAGCAGAACTATAACGTGAGTTAGTCAGAGAGACCAACAGCTGCACTGACTGTATTCACAACACAACACACAAAACTACATATTTTGCACGCTGGACAGAACATTACAGCAACAATTATTAATCATACTTAATCATACTTACAGGTTGTGATTCGGAGGAGCAAGCTGTCCAAACAAACTGGGCACTGACTCATCTTTTAAGGACAACCGGTTTACGAATCCCGTAATGAACTCGCAGAGATTGGGGAAGCAGTCGTCAGTGAAATGACGGGAACACAGCAAAACATTGGGATTATACTGTTGTGGTATTGCAGTAAAGATTAATTTTAACCACTAATTCTTCACAGCCTCATCCTTTGGAAGTGAAAATAAACCGAAATCATTTACACAGCGCAGAGCACAGCGTCTTCTCGACATTACTTTATCCACACGAACAAGCTACAGCGTTTGAGGTTTGTTTTTCGCGGGATGTCCACACAGAACGTAGGCGGGCATTATGCAAATGTATTAACTTGTGACATATGAACTTTGCGGAAATAGGACTCAAATTTAAAATGACTAATTTCAGCGGTTCAGAGTCAACTCTTTTGAGAGACAATAAACGTATTTATGATGCACTTACTACTTTGCAGATTTTTACATTCACATCAAGCTACATTACACACTGCATGAAAAGTAATTTTCAAAAATCCATAACAGGGGCACTTTAAGTTTTAATTATATTGTGTGTTTTTGTTATTTTATTATTTTTGTCTGTTTTTAAAATATTTCTATTTATCTTTCATTTATTTTTATTTCAGATTTTAGTAATTTTAATACTTCAACAAACTTATTTCAGTTAGTTGCCAAGGCAACATTTTTGCATTCATTTGTTTAATATCTAATATTTCTAGTAATATCTAATATTTATGTTTTTATTTTATTTTTATTTCAGCTTTATTTTAATTACCAAACACAATTTTAATAGCTTAATAATAGCTTTTGTTTACAATAACAACACTGTCATAGAGAGATCAGAAAATAAAGCAGCATAATAACTCACCTAGTCCTCCGAGTCCAGTTGGTCCTATGAGTTGCATCAGTTGGTTGTGACTCATATTACCAAGAAGACTCTGAAGGCCACCTTCACCTGGGGAATAATGTTAAAGTATCCGTGGTGAGACTCTTAAGAAAACAATTGCAAGACCTAATTTTCAACACAATAAATTATTTTCCTTTCCAACATTCAAGCCTACCACTATGATCATTATTAAGGAAGGAATGAAAAACTCAAAGTGTGTGTGTGTGTGCCAAGTGTATTATAACAGAAAAAATATACACTTCAGCTTTAAGATGAGTGTTTAGGAAGGGTATCAGTGCATTGGACAAAAATACTTTAGAAATACCTCCAAGAGCAGACAGTTCATGGCTGCTGCTGCCTCCACTCCCCAGAGTACCAGGTATTGGTGGGTTGTTGAGGTATTCATTCACTTTCCTGCAGTACTCCTCATCTTTATCTGTCTTAGGCTCCTGAAAGGTCAAATAGGGATGATCGCAGAAGATGTATTTCAGTTAATATTTACAATACATTTTTAAAGGGCAATATCAGATGCCAGAAGGCTCTCAGCCTGGCCTACCTGCAACCAAAAGAAGAGTCTTTTGGAGCCAGCTTTAAATTTAAGCACAAAAACACGGCCCGTGGTGCACTGATTGACCTTCTTGAACTCACAGTCATCAGGGAAAATGATCAGGTCCTTGTAAAAGGAACAAAGAAAATTTAAATATTTTTAGGATCAGCATTACAAAGGAATTTGGAATATTCAAAGCTGTTTATATGAGCGTGTACTAACATCCTCCACATTCCCCGTGGATCTGTCCTTCCAGCAGAAGTGGATGAGCGAATCGTCTGTCTGCTGAATGTACAAAAGTCCTTTGCGCTTATCCGGGGTCACGGTGCTGCCCTTCAGGGTCATTTTTCCTGCACGGAACTCCACCAAGTATTTGCTTAATGAGCCCCGGGATCCGGACACCAAGCTAGGGAACAAAGCTCCCGACGACATCTGTCGCAACAAAGAAAGTAAAGTTAATTTTGTCCCAGGGAGGGAAATTACAATTTTTGAGCAGCTATATAATGTATAGAAGTAAAAAATATATATATTTAAAATATATTAAATTATAATACTGTACTTTTTTTCATTATTTGGCTATTTGTGCTGCATAAACAAAACTATAACAAATGTAAACTATAAAACAGTAGTTTCACAATTTCTCGTAAGGGATCAATTCTGTTTATATAGCTACTAACATCCCTCACATTTCAAGTGGAGTATATATAGGCCTGTATAGTTATTATTTACTACGTCTTCATAGAATGTAGAATAACTACAATTACTGTTATTCAGGTAAATTACCAATAATAATATATTACGAAATCTTTCAGTCTAATAATCATTCAAGTGTTTGTTTTTTTAGTAACGGCTAATACACACAAATCCCGATAAATCATGGAGAGAAACTGATAACAATTAACCAAATACTTTAGTCACAATCAGGGTTTGAAATTAACACCCGCCAAATGCGGGTAAAAATCAGCTGTGGCGGGTAACGCTGTCAAATCTCTAGCCAATTTGGCGGCCGGGTTACTTTTCGTAAATTATGTTCACTCATTAATTTCTTGGGGAAGTTCATGCAGGCCAAATCTGCGCAGGTTTAGCGCAAATACTGAACTCGTGAGACATCATGACATTATCGAGTATATTGCAAAAGCTAAACAAAACACACCTACAGAGGCAAGCATACGCGACGAGATGAAAGTCTGGTTAGACCAACACAGGATTTAGTGCGCGTGCGCATTTAGAGTGGTTCTTTCACTGCATGATTCAGTCTATTAATATGCATTAAGAATGATCACATAATTCAAGATAAGGAGGCAGAAAATGTATATATTTATATCAATTCATATAGTTAATCAATATCACACGAAGAGTGACGTTTTTTCTTAAAAAATCAGCATGGTTACAAATGTGATATTTATTTTATACAACAGTTCAATAAACAATAAGTTAATATCAAGAGACTTACGTTTTAGACACCATATTGGCTGTTTTTGCATGCAACTTCTGTAAAGATTAATTTTATTGATACTGATTTAATTTGTTTAGTAACAGCCTAAATGTATTATTATTATAATTGACTGATTAAATGTAAGAATTTGACTCAAAAGATGATGTACACTTTTAGAAAAAAAATGGCTTTATAAAGGTAAGAATGCCCATAAAAGTTAAAAATCAATTTAAACTTATTGGAAAAGATTAATTTCTATCACTGCTGTGAACTGACCACACAGAATATGAAGAATATCAAAAACTTTAGGAGTCAGCTGTCCACGGTAGGACGTCCCTAAGATATCAGCACAATAACACACTCAGCAAAATATCGTCTAATTATCTTTATCGATAAAATCACAGAAAATATTGAGATATTATTTTTTGTCAATATCGCACACCCCTAGTACTGACAAAATGATTTGCAACGGTCGCTTTGTCACGCCCAGTGTAGACGGCCTCAAACTGTTCGTGTATTTCTGTCTTTTTTTTGGCTAGTAGCAGTTATGAATGGCCGGTAACTTAAAAATTTAGAAGCCAAATCGGCTGGTGAGTGAAAAGGTTAATTTCAATCCCTGGTCACAATACTGTCAAGCACAAATGATTAGCATCCTTATCTTAGAGCATCACTGTCCGAGATGCATCAGTCTGTTGCCTATTTCAATGCAGTAAATGTACAGGAAAGTGATAATATACGACCATATATCACATTATCATTAAAGTGAAGTGAGAATAAAATTAGTTAGTTACTAATCTATGATTATATGAGCAACTGATCCGCAGCTAAACCCGAAGCTAACACTACGAGTACTTAGGAAACCATTTAAAACAAAAAAGGTCCATGCTTTAAAACACTGGCTTCTACATTACACATCTATAAATGCAGTACTGACGAATGTGTGTGGTGATTGTGGTATATGACAAACATAAAACTTACATTTCTCTCTCTTTCTAGTCAAATTCTAAGAATTCTTTCACTTTTCTGATGTCGAGTCGACCAACCTCTAGTCCCCTACTTGCAGAAGGGGCGGGGCTTACGTTCGATTGGTGGAGGCTTCTTCATCCTTTGCTCTGATTGGTGATTGCACATGTCGATATGCCCACACAAATAACGCTGTTATGAGAATTGTCAAAGACAGACTGGAGTGATAAGTGTAACCTTTTAGAGGTGTTAAATTACATTTTCACCACTGTTAAAACATTTTAGATCGAATTACTTGCACTTTGCTGGGCAAATATGTTACTTGTCTAGCTTGTTCTGTCTTGCATGAACAATTCAATAATTCAGTGCTGAATCATTGTTCCCTTAGGTTTCAAACAAGTCTTGTTTTTTTGTAGTTATGACTACTGAACTGAGAAGAAATCCATAGCAGCTATTATCCAATTGTTTGTCACCTTCTTTACTTTTATATGCCTTTGTATTTAGTGTAAAGACAACCCGTCCACGTAACAGTCTAAATGAATGTCCTTTGATCACTATTTGTCTGACCTTGGAGCAATATAGCCCTTTAAAAAGGTTTATTTCTTGAGCATTAGCAATTCTTTGTCAAATAAATGATGAAATCATCTTATAATTCTACTCCTAAACCAGAACCAGCTTGGTCAATAAAGACATAGAAAGCATTTTTTTTTTTTTTTCTGTTATGAGTTTAATTAGATCCTCTTTATCCATGACATTGACTTTGATAAAGATCAGTTCACATTTTAGGTCAAATTAATGCAAAAAAACAGGTAATATTTCACAAACGTTCCCACCATCAAACATATGCCTGAAGCTGAAGCTTCTCCCAAATGTTTTGTCAGAAATCTCGAACTGATGCTTGTCAATTCCCTTCAGACACAAAAGAGCAAACTGAAGTTTCTTAGTGAGGTCTCACATATATCATTAATATGGCAAGTTTACAAATTAGCAGATTCATAAGACAGTTTAAATGCATTTCACGTGATCTATACAAATATAGTATAAAGTCACAATACTTCATGTACAATTATGTAAAGCCGTCATAGCACCACAGCGGTATAATTTGGGCTTCTATCTGTGAAATAGTGAGTTTCACAACAGAAACAATTAATCCTTAGTGTCACGACCAATATCAACAGCTTAATAATAACACAGACAGAATGACTTGAAAATTCTGTGTATGATTGCTTTACATAGTTGCAATCAATGTGACCAGGTTTACTTGTATATTAACTTGATGTGATTGCTACAGGAATAGCTGATAAGCACAGCTGACAGCACAAAATCATGAGACAATTGGGGATAAGTCCTTTTTTAATGTCTCATGATTTCAAGGGCTTTAAAAGACATTACGTTAGCAGCTGGTGGAATAATATACTGATATTTCTAACTGCTAGTAAGCATTGATAGTGAGATTAAATAATTTATGTTTAGACATGCCACAATATAGTGTATACAATACAGAGGGAAATAAATTGTAGTTAATTATTTGCTATGGCCCGAAGCTTGGCTTTTGGAACTGTACGCACTACATGAAACATATTAAAGACAAATATTCTTGTGCTACACAACAGATGATGAACTCCCATTAAGTGTGAATGATAAACATTTCTAATAATTAGATAACAGTGTTATTAATCACTGCAGTTACATACACCTGTGTCTCCACCTAACCAATTTTAGGTTGTGCAAAACAGCCAGTAATACTGTGTAAAACCATCAGCAAAAGTACTAGCATGCTTGACACCTTTGCACTAATGCCAACCAAAGTATTTTACATAAACAGTGGAGCTTATTGACACATTAAATTGTACAATTCATAGACAGACATTCCCATCAATGTTTGCATAGCTTCTGAAATTTGTGTGTTAAAATCACAGTATTGTTTAAAGTTTCAAAATAAAAGACAGTGGTGTCTTTCATGATCCTCTGAGGTCATCTCGTCTATGATTTGTATGTCTGGAAAAAAAATTAGTCCTTGCAGAATGAAATTTGCTGTATGGCAAAAAGCATGTGAACAATGAAGCACATTCTGAGCATTTTTGGTACACGTGAATATATGTGGGCTAAGGTGAAGCACCTTGACATTCGTGAGCCATTAAGTGCTGAAATAAAAAGAAAGATTAGCACCCACCTCCATTTAATTTGTATCACTCAACATTGCACTCCTGACGAGTTATATGGCTTTAATTTCTACAAGAGCAAAGTCACTTTGGCAACCATAAACACTCAAAACATCAATGCTAGGATGTAATAGGATTTTTGTTATAAGAGCTTTTTAACAATTAAAAAACACCCTTTCAGCAGCTTTCATTTTTGTCTGTCAAACAAAAACAAAACAGATCTAAAACATTTCTAAACGTGTGAGGAATGAGAATATTAGTTTTAGAAAACTCCCCTGTCCAACGGAGATGGTGAGAAATGGCCCAAGAGCCTTATCAGTGAGACATAACCATAATGTCTGAACAAAGGTGGGATAATTCGAAAAACAAAATAAAAATAAACTCCTTTTCATTCTCAGGTACTCAAAATCAGGCAGAATCTTTAACTGTGAAGTTCCTGCACATCATACATACCACAAATAGAGGTCATATTTCTGAGATAAGGAAAAAAGCAAATAATAGAGATGATAAAATAGCATTAGTTTGAACAAAAACACAAAATTATGCTCTCCTAATAGGTTCTGAGCAGCCTCACATTTCAACAATGACAAAAAAAAAAAAGAAATCACAGATGGCATCGCAGTGATGCCATCACTAACCACTTGTACCCATAAACTGAACACCTGAGTGTAACTAGCGAGACGCATGGAAAGGTAGGTTAGCACATACTGTACATAAACTAGCAATTTCTAAACATACTGAGGTTTGCACAGAATGTTTAACTTATAACCTAACATACATGAAAAAGAAAACAGTGAATAATTAAGGTATTCCCTACCTCTCAAAATAAATAAATCCATTCACACTAAATTTTCAGATTCTAGTAAAGAGTGGAACTCGTGGAGAGGCTTTGTCCAAAAACTGTTCACATGAATCTCACATTCCGATGAACAAAATGAAAAGAGCTCAAGGAGAGGAGATGATATGGATTGGGTGAAGGAGAGCAAAGGATGAATCACAAGACTCTTTCAGTCTTCCCAACCGAATCAGTAGATGTCTGGAAGGTCAGAGTACCTCCTGTCAAAGTAACCTCCCTTGTAGATCCAGTCTGCAGCTCCAGTGTACCGATTATTGCCTTGCTGGAACCATCTGAAAGATGGGAGGCCAAAAAGTTTATAAAAATAAAAAGGCTATTCAAAATCTCTACAGAAAAAAAAAACATTTTCACTAATATATTAACCTTTCAAGACGGACATATCAAAAGGTTTTCAACCTTCCGGTCTCTCTCGTGAAACCAACATGGAAGTGACTAAAACTGCAATTCATCGACTGACCGCTA